ATGAACGTTCCCGCGTATAACTCGCCATGCAAAAGGGGGTAGAGTAGGGATGAGGCGGCGGCGGTGGCGGTGGCGGCGGCGGCGGCGGCGTTGGTGGTGAGCACGGTGGAGGGGTGGTGTCGATGAAGAAAGAAAAATTGTTGCAACAAGTTTACGCACTTTGAATGTTCTGTATGTAAATTCTCCGGTATGTCTTTCGTTGAGTCAAACGTATATAAAATGTTGATGATAATGATGATGTTGATTAGTCCTGAGATTATATACGTTTTCTAACGCAGAAAAATTATGGTTTCTCTTCGTATTGGAGGATATACTGAGAGCCTTTTACTCTTAGATTTCTTCGTTCGATCTTCGAAATCCAACTTCTTCTCCTCCTTCTCCTCCTGCTAATCGTTCCCGTAGTCCCAGCTATCGTCGTCTTCGTCGTTGTCGTCTTGATTGTCGTTATTGTCGTTGTCGTTGGTTTTGTTCTCGTTACTTTCGTTGCCGTTGTCGTCGCCGTCGCCGTCGCCGTCACCGTCACCGTCCCCGCCGTCGTTGTTGTCGTCGTCGTCGTCGTCGTCGTCGTCGTCGTCGTCGTCGTCGTTGTCCTTCCTCTCTTTCTTGGTTCGTTCTCTTCTTCGAGGTGGCGGCTCCTCCACCGGCAGCACCGCCACATTTTTCGACGCGCGAACGCGCACTTACCTCCTTTTCACCCTTCCTCGGTTATATAGTGACGAGTATACTCTCTTTCTCTATACTTTTCACCTTCTACTTCTTTCTCCGTTTTCTCTCTTTCTTCTTTCCTTTATTTCTTTGCTTTTTTCCCTTTTTTCTCTATCTTGCTCTCTCTTTCTCTCTCTCTCTCTCTCTCTCTCTCTCTCTCTGTCTCTCTCGTTCTCTCTCTCTCTCTCTCTGTCTCTCTGTCTCTCTGTCTCTCTGTCTCTCTCTTTCGTTCTCTATCTTCCTTTTTCTCTCTCTTTCGTTCTCTCTTTCCCTCTCTCTCTCTCTCTCTCTCTCTCTCTCTCTCTCTCTCTGTCTCTTTTTTCTCTTGATTCCTACCTTCGATAGACAGACCACTACTCAACTATCAGTTTCACCAAATGCACTCTCTCCTCCTCACCTTATGGATCGTGTTACGCCACTGCGAGAAACGATCGCAGCGCTCAGGCTCAACACCCCGAGGCGTCGTACGGCGTCACTCGTGATGACGTCGCGACGCTTTCATCCGACTTTCGAAATAAGGTCGAATAAGGTCGAGTTTCCTTTTTTCCTTCATTTTTCCTTTTTTTTCTTTTTTTTTTTTATCTTTGTGTTTCCCAATTCGTACGATCAATCGTTTTATCTTTCGTTCGAATGGCAACAATTTTTTAAGATTTGCAAACTCTCGATTTTTCTTTTTTTTTCTTTTTTTTTTTGTTTTTTTCTTTTTCAGAAGAAAAAAAAACACATCAAATCTTAAATTCGAATTACTAACATCGTCTTACCTCTTTTCCTTTCTGTTCTTTTTTGTTTGTTCTTTCTTTTTTCACAATGACAAAGATCGAGCCTTAATAGAAACGAAAGTAAGTAAAAGAAGAAATGACAAAAAGAAATGCAATCGTCCAATCGTAGTTGAGAACGCATCAGCAAAAACGTATTGCACTATTTCGTGGGATCTGCAAATGCGCAGACGCTGCACATAAAACCGCTTCGTCGATGGCTCATATTTCTAGCGCACGAGCGCACTTGGAAACTGACCAACCAATGACGTTAGACTTTTCCAAGTCCCTCGATGCAGTTCGATGCGACGACTGCTGTTGCTAAAGCGCATGATCGATCAAACAATAAGATTACCTTTCTCGTACGTTATTACGTCGTTTAAGGCCAATTTTTAAAATTGATCTACTCATCTCGATCTGAGAGGATTAGATCGTTTATTGCAAAGTTTATATGTATGTAAGTGCACGTATGTATGTATGTATGTCTGTCCGTCCGTCTGTCTATTTGTCCCGTGTACATGTGTATGTGTGTGTCTATGAGTCACACATAACGATCAGCCAATCGAATGCATTCGACAATGCAGTTGGATGCATTCACGGCGTAACGCGAACTATAATCAATGATGCACATTGCACATGAGATAAGTTATCTTATTTCTCGACTCAATCCAACGTATTTTTTCCACTTCTTCTTTCTTTCTCTTTTTCCTCTGCATTTTTTGTCTTTTTCTTTTATTTTTTTTTCTTTTCTTTTGTCTCTTTTTTATTGATACGATGATACATATTCTATCTTCGATCGCGTGTATATTAGATCAATCGGAGTATATATTTTTTAATTGATATGGGATATGGAAATGGGAGAAAAAGAATATAGACTATGTTTCAGTAAATTTTACATAATGTTTATTATTTATAGTGTACTCAGAAATGTCGGGCCTCAACCAGTGGGCCTTCTTTTTTTGACATATTTGATCAGTAAACATCACAATGTTAATTTTCCCCTAGTCCATACACAGTATCTCCTCTCTCTCTCTCTCTCTCTCTCTCTCTCTCTCTCTCTCTCTCTCTCTCTCTCTCTCTCTCTCTCTCTTGCTCTATCTATATTTCGTTCTTACTCTTCCTCTATTCCTACTCTTTCTATTAAAAGTGACGAACAAGCTATTCGTAAATCGTCCTAACGAATACGACGAAACGATTAAATTAAAGAAAAAGAAAAAAAAGAAGAAAAAGTAAAGAAACTTACGGAGTTCCTTTTTCACGAACGATTTTCCTGTTTCTTTTTTTTTTTTTTCTTTTTTTTTCGTGAGAAAATTCACTGATTTGATCAGGAAATCGTCGTTTAGAAGAAAAAGAGGGAAAGAAAAAAAGGGATTCAAAAATTGGATGATAGGTACCGATCGAGTAGCCTGTACGTTTCAAAAAATAGAAAGATTTCGTCAACCGGCTTCGCGACGCTTTTGGTTCTTCCTTCCTTCCTTCCTTCCTTTCTTTCTTTCTTTCTTTCTTTATTCCATTTTTTATTCCTCACCCACGTTTCTTCAACATGCCAGCATATTCGTACAATGAAAATGAAAAAAAAAGAAAATATATATATATATATATACATATATATATATATATATATATATATATATATATATATATATATGTATATATACGAATAACAAGATGTTTACAAAGAAAACGAAAAGAAATAAAATCTATATCGTTTTCAGCTTAGCCGCAAATATTATAACACCGACTTTCCTTATAATTTTTGAAAGTCGCGCCCCCCACTCAATGAACCTCTCCTTCTTCTCTATTTTATTTTATTTTATTTTATTTTATTTTATTTTACTTTACTTTACTTTACTTTACTTTATTTTACTTTATTTTATTTTATTTTACTTTATTTTATTTTACTTTATTTTATTTTATTTTATTTTATTTTATTTTATTTTATTTTATTTTATTTTATTTTATTTCTATCATTTTCCTCTCCCACAACATATCGAACGCAACACGGATCGTATAGGTAATTCCTTATGACGTGTTATTATCTATTACAAAAGATTTCGTCGAATGAACGCGGCGACGCACGTTGCGCACCCTTCCTTTCCCCCTTTTTTTTTTATTTTTCTCTCACCCTTTCCTCATATTTTCCCTTATTCCTTTCCTTCTTTCTTTCTTTCATTCCTTCCTTCTTTCTTTCCTCCCTATTTTTTTATTCCTTTCTTCTTCCTTTTCTTTTTCATCTCTGTTATACATAACTCGAACTTACTTTGCCACCTTGTAATGGTGGTACTGTTGTTGTTGTTGTTGTTGTTGTTGTTGTTGTTGTTGTTGTTGGTTGTAATGGTGATGGTATTGGTAGTGATAATGGTGATAGAGAGAGGGAGGATGGGATAAGAAGTTCGATGGACAATTAGAAAAATGAAGGGACGTAAGCGACGTAAGGAGAGAAAGGAGTGTATCAGGGGAGAGGTTTTCTTATGTGACAATTCTGTTAGCACTTTTCATTTATTATTTATCGCAACAATCAAAACCATTTCTTTTTTCTTTTTTTTTTTTTTCTTTTTTCTTCTTTTTGTCTTTATCCTCGATTAAATCGAAATTTTATCGATCCGATCGAATTCGTACGATTCTATTATATCACGTTTTTATCTCGCGATAATTAGAAAGAGGCGCGAGGCCACATCTAAATTCTCGTTTATATAGGAATAATCGGAAGTAAAAGGGATTTTCTCGATAATCGAAAAACTTGGTAAAAATATCGTTGCGACCTCGCACCGCTTCGTAATGGTCAACGCCATTTTCTTTGTCTTTTCGATGTCATCATCGTCATACATCGCTTTTAGCTTTTTAAAATTTTTAGTCACATAGTAGTCGCGAAATACATAGGTACTTTCCATTGGCTCTACAATACACAAGTTAAGATATTTGTGAAAAGATGCAGATTCTCCTTTCACGATACCATTTTCTTCGCTGTTTGTCATTTTGTTAGACGTTTTCGTCGGTTTTTTTTTTTCTTCTTTACTTTTATCTCCCTTTTTAATTTTTTTCATCTTCATTACTCATTCGTTCGTTTGTTTATTTACTTCTTTTTTTTTTTTTTTACTCCTTTTTTATTTTATGTCTTTTTTTTCTTTTTTTCCTTTTCTTTTCTCTTTTTTTTTTCTTCTTTTTTTTTACGTTTTCTTCTTTTTTTTTTTTTTGTTTTTTTTTGTTTTTGTTTTTGTTTTTCTTTTTCTTTGTTCGTTTGACGTATCGATGCGACTGACTGTCTTCTCCTTCTCGATAACTTTCGTTTGTATAATGTTCCAGAGACGTGTAATGAGTAGAGTATAACGTCAGTATGAATTTTCCCATGTAGGTGTACACATATCGTATATATGTATGTATACGTACATATCATATATATCGTTATCTACATTATATTCCTAACTTCGAAAAATAACATTACAATATTATCATAGTGTGTGCATTGTTTAACGTGTCAATGTATAAGTATATTATGTATATGTCTTTTATGTGTACATATATGTTAGATGTATTTATTTATTTTTTTTTTCTTTTTTTTTCTTTTTTTTTTTTTATTTTTTGACGGGTTTAGGCCGTGGGTGTTCTCGGTTGTCAGGGGGGTGGGTTTTTTTTTTATTCTTAATATATAATCCTCGTTTCATTCATACCTCCAATCGTCGCGAGTATCGATACGTTTCCTATATATCTCGAAAAATTTTCATTAACGCCCCCTTCTAATTTAATATCGTTACTTTTTTAATCCCGGCGCAATAATACCTATAGATTATGTCTTGTTTCATTTATTTCTTCCTTACTTTTCGTTTAGTTTGGTTTACTTTTCTCTTCTTTTCTATACTTTTTCTTCTTCTTCTTTCTTCTCTCTTTTTTTTTTATTTTTTTTTTTTGCTTTCTTTCTCTCTTTCTTTCCTTTTTACCACATCGAACGAGCCCGAGCACAACGCTGAGAGATATCGCCCGGCGCTAGAAATCTAGAGTTACTGTCTGGTGTACGCAATATTTTTATATTATAATCGTAAGTCTGTGGGGGGTGCGTGTGTGGGCTTAGTTAGTCTTATAAAAAATTATATATCCGCGATCGTTCAATATAAAATCTCTTTTTCAACAATATCGAGATGGCGATTAGCTACGAGGCTTACGCGTTAGACAAGGACAAAAATCACATCGGCAGGAATTCGTTTTACTTTCGTACTATATCTTCTTTTTTTTTTCATTCTTTCTTTTTAATTATTATTATTATTATTATTATTATTATTATTATTATTAATATTATTATTATTATTATTAATATTATTATTATTATTATAATTATTATTATTATTATAATTATTATTATTATTATAATTCTCCTTCTTCTCCTCCACCTATTCCTCCTCATGAAAGATACAATATCGATCGGGATCTTTCTTTCTCGTTCTATCGACAAAAAAGATCGAGATCCTAATTCTCAAAGTAGAAGTAGAAGTAGAAGAAGAAGAAGAAGAAGAAGAAAAACGAGATGTTACGAGAGTCTAACGATCGTTCGCCATTAACTATTGCCATAACGACGTTAGTGTGATCTTCGTTATTAGCGAGGAAAACGAACGAGCCATATCTCAGGCATGCGTGGCCGCGAACTCGTCCATATTCACTTTCTTTCTTTCTTTCTTTCTTTCCTTCTTTCTTTCCCCTCTTTCACTCACTCTTCCTATCTCTTACTCTTTCTATGCTTTTATTTATTTATTTATTTCTTATTTTTCTTTTTCTCTTTAATAGTTATATCAATGTTCTTCGATGTGCATTGTAAAGTATATTTTAAATATGTTCTCTGTGTGTTCAGTTCGAATATGTAAAACCACTTTGAGCGCTACAACTTTTCTCTATCTCTCTCTCTCTCTCTCTCCCCTTCTCTATCTATCGTTCATCTCTTTTTTTCCTAACTCTCTTCATTCGCATTCTCTCACTCTCTCACTCTCTCACATTCTCTCTCTCTCTCTCTCTCTCTCCCTCTCCTTTTTCCCGTTTAATTTGAATAACAACCACTTTTCTTTTTTATTTTCCTTCTCTTTTCTTCCTTTTTTATTTTTCGTTTAATTTTAATTTGTTTCACTAAATATATCACAAACTGCCGGCGGTTAACGTAAGCGACCCGCGAATTTTACGACGAACGCGCCCATATATTATTAATAATAATTGGCAGCGCGTCGTTGTCGTATCGAGCAACGCGAACACGCATCAGACGCATCATTTAGACGGCCTTTTTTTTTATGAGGGCACATTCGTCGTCAAATTCGTGTGCCACCGCCAGGAAAAATATAACGTTAAGGGATTACATAGTTAATAATTACATCATTGTCGGAAGACGCGACGATCCGAAGGAGCCCGAGGACACGCGAGCTTTATGTATATTTATTTTATTTTATTTTATTTTATTTTATTTTATTTTACTTTATTTTATTTTTTTTCTATTTATTTATTTATTTATTTATTTATTTATTTATTTATTTATTTATTTATTTATTTATGTATGTATTTATTTATTTCGTTGCTTCTCTAATTTTTCTTCTTCTTCTTCTTCTTCTTCTTCTTCTTTTTCTTCTTTTTCTTCTCCTTCTCCTTCAATCCTTTCTCTCACAAGTTAGTTTTAATTAGTTAGTTTATTTTCTTTTCTCGAGCATCGGAATCCCTCGGGATTCTTCGGCCTTGTCCCCCCACCACAAACTTTATACGGTTAGTTTTAAGTGTCGAAATATAGTAATTTTGTCCTTTCTTTTTCTTTCCTTTCTTTTTTTCTTTCTTTCTTTCTGTCTTCTTTCCTATCCTTTTACTATCCATATATTTATGTTGCCACAAAAGATTCTCTCTCTCTCTTTTCCTTATTCATCCTTAAGGTATAAATATCTTTATAAATTCATGACCTTATGTATTACGTGATTTCTCTCTCTCTCTCTCTCTCTCTACTTTCTTTTCGTTTCTCTTCTTCATCGATCTTTTTCTCATCTTTCCCTTTCTTTCTTTTCTTTTTTCGTAACCTTTCACAAACATAACATTTGACTTTCTGTTTATGTATATATGTATATATGTATATATATATATACATATACATATATATATATATATACACATATATACCTACGTACATACATACATATTAGATACATACACACACACACACACACACGTGCTCGCTTTTATTTTCTTATCTCTTTTCCTTCTATCTTATTACTCTTTTTTTTGAAAACTTGTAGTCTAGGGTAAGGTGATGGTGGTAGTGGTGGTGGTGGTAGTAGTGATGATGGTGGTAATGGTGGTAGTGTTGGTGATGATGTTCGTGTTATCGTGTCGGAAGAGCACGAGGAATGGAAGGGCGGCATAGATTAAAGAAGACATTCAAGCCGTTTCCGGATGATAGTAGGCGGGCTTTGCGGAGCTAAAGGCACCGATGCTACCAAGAAATGAAATATATTTATCTTTACATTTGTGAAACGTGCAAATGTATACACCCGTCTCCAAAAACGTCAGAAATGACGTTGTATCTTGAAAGAAGAAAAAAGGACCTTCGTATCAAACGACTTCATGAAAAAACGAAAACACCTGACAACAACGTTCGTTTAAAATTTATGATGTAGTTGGAATTGTCTTTTTCTGTTTTTTTTTTTCTTTTTTTTTCTTTTTTTTTTTTCTTTTTTTTCTTCTTTTTATCATTGAGAAAAAATTAAATATACTACTATTTATGGTATATATTTTTAATAGTCATTGTTATTGGAATTATTGTTTTCTACGCCATCAAGAAAAAATATTAAATGTCCATTTATCAAATATCCAAATTATTCCAATTGGAATTAATTCTTAGAAAGAAATTAAATATTTCGAAATTTCATTATTACGTTGTGATAAATTGCAATTGAAACAAGGGAAACGAGGAGAAGAAGAAGAAGAAGAAGAAGAAGAAGAAGAAGAAGAAGAAGAAGAAGAAGAAGAAAATGAAGGAAAAAGAAAGAAAAAAAATAATTAAAAAGAAGATGAGAAAAAAAATCCACCAGTCAAGCATTGTCAAGCGTTAACGTTCGATTATCGATACGACATGAAAATTCGTGAAGTAGTAATAGAAGATGAAGAAGAATGATTAATAAAGATAGCGATATAGCGAAGATCGATCGAATCTGGACAAAAGCGAGCCTTTATCTAACGCGCATTAACCCGTTCTCTAATCGCAAAATCAGCGAGGTACCGAGGATCACAAAATACGACAAGGGAAGTTTCACGAAGCGAAGGTTAAACTTTTTAAAGCGTCTTCAAAATAGCGAGTTCGTAGTTCGTTTCAATCATGAGTACAATTAATTCTCCATTGATTTTTCTTTTTTCATTTCTCTTTTCTTTTTTTTTCTTTTTCTTTTGTTTGTCTTTTTCATTTCCTTCTTTCCCGTGAATACTTCGCAAAGACTTTCCTCCAACCCATTGAGAATTAGTATTACGACGAACAACACGGCCAAGATGATCGTATATCGAAAAAGTAATAATCTATTCTCTATTCCATTTTTACTTTTGTTTCTTTGTTTTTGTTGTTTTTGTTGTTGTTTTTGTTGTTGTTGTTGTTGTAATTGTAGTACTAGTAATAGTAATAGTATTAGTAATAGTAATAGTAATAGTAATAGTAATAGTACTAGTAGTAGTAATAGTAGTAATAGTACTAGTTGTTGTTCTTGTTCTTGTTGTTGTTGTTGTTGTTGTTGTTGTTGTTGTTGTTGTTGTTGTTGTTGTTGTTATTGTTGTTGTTGTTGTTATTGTTGTTGTTGTTGCAATTTCTTTCTATCTATTTTCCTTACGAAGATCTATCTCTGAGCAAAATAGGATGCGTGAGGGGTTTTTTAAACCTCCATCTTTATTACGAGAGGAGACTCGAAAGAAGAATCATTTCCTTTTTTTCAATAGCCTATCTCGTCTAAGAACAATCGTACGATATAATGTTTTGCGTATAAGATTACATATAGACATACTAAGAAGCTTTATCTATCACTTTTTTACTTTCTCTCTCTCTCTCTCTCTCTCTCTCTCTCTCTCTCTCTGTGTGTGTATTTCACTCTCCAAGATATATGGAATAAGAATAGAGGAGATACGAAATAGGGAATAAAGGAAATGCGTATATAGATGAGCCTGTGAAAAAAGAAGGGGGAGGAACGGGGGTGGGACAGATTAGAGGGTGGAAAAAAGAGAGAATCAGAAGGAGAAGCACAAGAAGGAAGATGAAAAAAGAAATGATTGGCGGAACCGGAAGCAGCGTGTAGCTTTGACTCTTCGAGGCTCTCTCTCTCTCTCTCTCTCTCTTTCTCTCTATCTCTCTATTACTATCTATCTATCTCTATCTATCTATCTATCTATCTATCTATCTATTTATCTACCTATCTATCTATCTATCTATCTATCTATCTATCTCTCTTTCTCGTTCATTCCTTCTCCTAATAAACGACAGAAAGTCCTCGAGACGTCGATTTTCTAATCGACGAAGATCATTTCTACACACGTAAAGCTAATAAAGAAGGGCTTAAGCCTGAGAAGATACATCGACATGCTTGCGTGATTATTATTATTATTATTATTATTATTATTATTATTATTATTATTATTATTATTATTATTTCTGATCTGTAAAGATTTCCTATTTTCTATTAGCTAAAAATTCATGATTACTAGAACATATCACCTAAAGATTAATAATCTAATTGAAAAATATTATAGTCCTCAGTTAGCATAGTTTCAATAAAGTTAATATGCTCGTCGTGGGTTGGCTTCTTTTCTTTCCTTTTCTTTTTTTTCTTTTTCTTTCTCTTTCTTCTTTTATTTTTCTTTTCTTGTTTTTTTTTTTTTTGGAGGGTAACGTATAATGGATTGCGTCCAACTTTGAAATTGACCCCACGACTTATGTAGCTTATCTAAACTTTATCTAAAACGATGTTACTTTCTCTTTCTCTCTATCTCACTCTCTCTCTCTCTCTCCCTCTCTCTCTCTCTGTCTTCTTCTTTCTTTTTCTTTTTTCATACACGTCGATCGTGAAATCTCGGGAACGATTATGCGAGTACGGATTATCATTTGTATTTATTTTCATCGATTATCCACGAATCCCGAACGTAGAATCGGAAAATATACGATCTCCCTCCCTCTCACCCCCTTACACCCTCCCAATCCTCGTCTTGTATACGAGGAAAAATTTGTTTGTCATTTTATTTACGTACATTATTAATGGCAACTTT